GAATAAAGAAATTGATCTCTAAAAATTGTTGTGCAAATAATGAAGCTATCCATCACATAATTACTGCAGGAGAAAAGAAAGTAAGTTGATGTTGTACCTTTTTTACATTCAAGATGGCAAACTGATATAAGATCTGCCCACTTCGCCTTCCCCAAGAACACATCAAAATTCTAGGAAAGAAGTGAGTGGCAAAAGCCGTGGTAGAGATAATAGGAGAGATTAACTAAATTTCCAGGTAATGGAAAAGGAGATGGAGGCAAAGCACAAAGGAAGAAGCCACAGCAGGAACTATGAGGAGCAACCAGCAAGGAGAATATACTGATATTAACCGCACTAAGATAAAACTTGTTAGCATTAGGGCTGAAATAGTCAAGATGGTGAAATAAAAACATTACATGAAGAATGGGCAGGGGGCACTCCAGTAAGTAGGTTTACTTTTACGCTCTGGAATTTGCAGACAACACCCTCCAGCCTGAAGGTCAGATCTTCTCTTAAAGTAAATGTGTCTTGGGGCCAGCGCCGTGGCTCACTTGGCTAATCCTCCGACTGCGGCGCCTGCATCCCATATGGGCGCCGGGTTCTAGTCCCAGCTGCTCCTCTTCCAGTCCAGCGCACTGCTGTGGCCCAGGAGGGCAGGGGAGGATGGCCCAAGTGCTTGGGCCCTACACCCACGTGGGAGACTAGGAAGAAGCACCTGGCTCCTGGCTTCGGATCAGCACAGCGCTGGCCGTAGCGGCCATTTTGGGATGAACCAACGGAAGGAAGACCTTTCTCTCTGTCCTGTCTCTCTCTCTCTCACTGTCTATAACTCTACTGTAGACACAAAAAAGATACAAGATAACAGAATGAGAGTAAATGTGACTTTCAAAGAATTTTGTTCCAATAGCCATCGCTCCAGTTCATCTTTTTGAGTAGGTCATTTCTAAATCAGGAAGGATGTCAAAAGCCATGGCAATGATTGGCCAAGCACCTGCTTGGACATCAGTGAGAATGTATAGCACTAACAGCATAGCAGTGAGCACACTTAACACCATATCTTACTTTCTAGATTCCAAACTCCACTTGCATCTAAGACTCCTGGAAGAAATCACTGAATCCATAACTGCATTAGAAAAGTTCAAGATGAGCTTGGTGTATCTTACTGAGCCAGAAAGTAAAGAAATGGGCAAACAATACTGGGATATCTAAAATACATAGGAATCAAAATAAAGGTGTTCCCATTACCCAAATCTTGGACAATTTGAACATTAAAATAAATACTAATATTGCTAAATTTTAACAGTAGGTAAAAATCAACAAACATTCTTTCAATAGTAAAAAAGACAACTAATAAATACAGAAGGAAAACTGAAAACTATGAATGGATTATAAACTAGTAGGTTGAATCTTGACTTGAAAAATAAGGTTTTCATACAGTAGTAAAGTACCTACACTCAAATTAATTACTGATTCCAGGGAAGAAGACAGCAACTTCACAGTGAAGAAATTTGAAGTACATTACTTTCACCAGTGCTGACGTGATGCCCCAGGAAGGATACAGCTATATCTTCTATGAATCTAATCATAAAAAGTAGTACAAACTCAAATCAAGGGACAGTCTATAAAATAGTCAGCATTTTTCAACCTGTCAGAGATCAAGAAAGAGAGAAAGAAGCTGGGAAACTGATTCAGATCAAAGGGTACTAAAGAGACGTACCCACACTGAGTCGCATCCTGAACCAGGCAAAAAATTAACCACCTGGGACGCTATTGGGATAACTATCTGAATCTGAGTATGAACTATGAGACAGCTAATAATATATCAATATTAAACCATCTAGTTTGCATAATTATATTTTATTTATTCTCAGAGTAAATAGCACAACACCAGCAATGTGTCATGAAGTGGTGATAAATGATTATGTGCTGATACATAGATAACATATACATGTATAGGTTCTCATATATTTATATATAGGATCATATATTTTATATAATGATAAAGTGAGACCAAATACAGCCATTTAACAAATTTGGGGATGTAGGGATTTTTTGCACTATTATGATAATTTTTCTGTAAGTTTGAAATTGTCGAAATAAAAAATACATAATTGATCAAATGCAAAACAATTATGCCTTAAAACAGAAGAAAAATATTAGCTATGATGATGGAATCTAGAGTCTTATGCTTGTTAGAGATTCCAAATTATCTACTCAGAGCTAGACACTGGAATTAGAACCAGTACTGGAATCTCCCCACCAACATATACAGTGGAATCTCATTCTACTTATACAATGGATTGTTGCTAATAATAGTCCATTGCATCTTCAGATGACCCCATCCCTTTCCCCTCTGCACAGACACATCTCTCTTGGTATAGAGCATCTACTTCCTCTCATGGTCATATTTCCACACCCAAGCTTCCCTTCTCTGCAAGTGTATAAACTCTGGGTGCTTGTGCGTATTTGTTTATACATGAGGCATCTTAAAAAGTTAATGAGGCCGGTGCCGTGGCTCACTAGGCTAATCCTCCGCCTTGCGGCGCCGGCATACCGGGTTCTAGTCCCGGTCGGGGCGCCGGATTCTGTCCCGGTTGCCCCTCTTCCAGGCCAGCTCTCAGCTGTGGCCAGGGAGTGCAGTGGAGGATGGCCCAAGTGCTTGGGCCCTGCACCTCGTGGGAGACCAGGATAAGTACCTGGCTCCTGCCATCGGATCAGCACAGTGCGCCGGCCCTGGCTGCCATTGGAGGGTGAACCAACGGCAAAGGAAGACCTTTCTCTCTGTCTCTCTCTCTCACTGTCCACTCTGCCTGTCAAAAAAAAAAAAAAAAAAAGTTAATGAAGTATGCGTATTATGAAAAAATCTACACATTAATTTCAAAAATTTTCACCAAAATAAATGTATCTTTTTAAGAGGAATTTTATTTTCTTTTATTATTGAACCAGCAGGGAAAGAGAAAGAGAGAGAGAGAGAGCGCGCTTCATTCTGCTAGTTCACTCCTCAAATACCCACAATGACCAAAGCTGGATCATGCTGTAGTCAGGAGCTATGAACTCAATCTAGGTTACCCATATGGGTGGCAGGGACTCAATTATTTGAATCATCACTGCTGCTTCCCAAGGTCTGCATTACCAGGAAGCTGGAGTCAGGAACTACATCCAGGTATCAATCCCAAATACTTCATTGAGAAATACAGTTGTCATAACTGCTAGATGAAAAGCCTACCCCAACCGATCTTCTAATTCCACTTTTCCACAAAGTGTATATGTGTATAAATGATAGAAAAATGATAGATGATGATGATCATCATCATGATGGTAGGAAAGAAAGAAAGAAAGAAAGAAAGAAAGAAAGAAAGAAAGAAAGAAAGAAAGAAAGAAAGAAAGAAAGAAAGAAAGAAAGAAAGAAAGGAAGGAAGGAAGGAAGGAAGGAAGGAAGGAAGGAAGGAAGGAAGGAAGGGAGGAAGGAAGGGAGAAAAAGGGAGGGAGGGAGGTAAGAAGGAAAGCGGGAGAGAGGAAGAGAGGGAGGGATGTAGGAAGGAAAGAGGAGAGGGGAAAGCAGCATATGGCTCTGGTCACAGATCATCTCCTATTTTAAGTCGTGAAAAAGCAATGACTAAAAAATATCTCTTTGGATAATAACATTGTACAATAACTGATATAAAATGCAAGATTATTAAATTTCATTTGAATATTGAATACAGTGTTTTTAATATTTGAGGGCAAAGATTTGTGTCTTACTTTTTTCCATGTCCCCAGATCTTAAGACAATGCTTCAGGTCATAGCCACACTGTGAAAATCTGTTAAGTGATTCAGTTTCCTGTTGAAGACAGTCAGGTTCTTTGCTTAGTGGTTTAATTCAAAGTCCTAACACAGTGGCCAGAGTCCAACAGGACTCGATACCTCAGAGTCAGGAGTACCATAAATACTTGACACATGAATGTAAGTGTCTTGATTCAAACTTAACATATTTTGTTTCAGTAAAAGAGAGATTTCTCAGTAAGCAAGACAAGGAACATTTTCTAAGTGCAGACCACATACCATTTCAACTTTTTCAATAGTAACTATAACGCCAGTGAAAATATGTTTCATTTTTAATCCGAGCTATATTATAACCAGAAATGACGAGGCCTCAGAAAATAAAACTGATCTATCAAAAAGGAGAAAGATGTTATGTGATTTTAGCCTTTGGGCTCCCTTTTATTGTCCAAATCTTGAAAACTCCTAAAGATAGTTTCATAGCTAAGCCCATTTAGTTACAATTTTTCCAATAACATGTAAAGCTCAAATTTTACCAGATCTGAGTAGTATAAATACACTATGAAAGAAAAAAATGAATGTAAATGAAATTGTGTCACTAGCAAAAAAAGGAAGAAATTTTTTAGCATTGTACAGCTTAGAAATATTCCTCTTTATACCAGAATGAAAAATATTAATAATTGCAGTGTATTTGGATGAAATTTAAGACATTTCAATGGAATTTAAAAAATTAAAATCTCAATGCAAAATGAAAAAGTGATGAGGCATTACTCCATTTGGGTTATGGAATCTGAAATGGAAATAAAACATTTTTCAAAGATTTGTTTATTTGAAAGGCAGAGTTATGGGGGGTGGGGGAGACACAGTAAGAGAGAGAAAGAGAAAGAGAGAGAGAGAAAGAGATCTTCCATCCACTGGTTCACTCCTCAAATGGCCACAATGGCTGGACCGATCTGAAGCCAGGAGTCAGGAGCTTCTTCCGTGTCTCCCAAGTGGGTGCAGGGGCCCAAACACTTGGGCCATCCTCTGCTGCTTTCCCAGGCCCATTAGCAGAGAGCTGGATTAGAAGTGGAACATCCGGGACACAGACTGGTACCCATATATGATGCCAAGCACTAAAGATGGGGGCCTAACCCGCTGCACCACAATGCCAGCCCCAAATCAGAATAAAGTGTGGTTAAAATCAGCCACTACAGATTGAAACTGGCTGACAAATTCAAGAAAAAAAAAGCAAAGTAAAATAAAAAACCAGGACAAAATATTCATGCTGAATGAAATAGATTTATTAGGAGACTAACAGCAAAACCCCATCATACCCATGTCCAATACAGGGATGTTGATTTGGAAGTTAACACAAGAACAAAGCAACCTTGGGAAATAAACTACTAATTTCACTGCTAAAATTCATGAGTGTCAGAAAAAAACATATCTTGCTTTCTTGGCTTCAGATGAGTGAGTATCATCAGTTGAGCATTTGAACCCTGAGTAACTAGTTTATCGTCATTGAAGACCAAGGCCACAGTAAGATCTCAGTGTCTTCTCCCAAGAACATCTGGAAACAGAAACACACTCATTGCTCTTCAGGTTCTTCTGTGCAGAGAATGGTTCAAGAGTCCTATAGTCACCAGAGCTGTCGGATGGTCCATCAGTAGGTGCTGTAGCCAAAACCAGAGTTAGAGCCCCATGGCCTGATAAAGTTGCGACCATAGCAAGAGCTCTGGTTGTAGAAGTTGTTACCACCAAAGCCAAAGCCCAGGGAGCTGTAGCCATTGCATCCGCAGCCGTACTGCAGGGGAGAGCCCAGAGGCACCACACAGTTCAGGGGAGTGGCTCTGTAGGTTCCACGGAAGTTGGTTCCATAGCAAGGATAGCCTGGGAAGTAGCTTCCACAGCAGAAGTAACGAGTCATGGTGTTGGATGTTAAGAGGGGTGTGGATGGATAGGGAGGAACAAGCTACCCAAGTGTGAATGAAGATCTCCAGCACAGGGCTTTTTATACCTCAGGTTGGTGGGCCTGACGGGCTTGTCCAGACATCTTCTCACTAATTTGCATAAATAGACCCATTATTTTCTAATAAAGTGTATATAAAGGAACCCACAGACTCATTGCCCATGCTTTTGTTGGCTTTTCTGTTTGCAAAGGAATTTATCCTATCTTCAAAGCCAGGAACCATTATTGAAATGCATCGAATTCTTTTCATTAGTGTTCCATAGTTTAACTACTGTTCTGACAGCATCATGTGAGGCTCTTTAAATCATTCGATTATAAATTCCTCCCAACTGACATAGCAGACTAAAAAAAGCTTTGGCAAGTATGTGAACGCTTCAAGTGAAGGCAACAACATACATTGAGATCTTATAATATTTAGAGAACATCAATTGAAACATTAAGCTCTTGAAACTCTCTCTGCATACTGTTCAAAAATATTGATATAACAACTGATTAATAGGTATGGAAATTTCTTTCTGGGATGAAGAAAATCATTGAAAACTAGATGGATGTTGGGTTACACAATACTATTAATCTACTAAATATCACTGAATCTTTCTCTGCAAAATGTCCTGTTTTATGTTATATAAACTTCACTTCAGTGTTTTTTTTTTATTTTAAAAGCATTACTATACAAACACAATCTAACAAGTCTTTTTACAGAATCTCTGGTGAATAATAAGATAGATAGGTAATCAAGTAGTAATTTTCCTCTGTTTCATTTATGAGCATTCTCCTTGTTAACATGCATTTTGTTTTTCATGGAGAACACACAATCTTTAGTTGTAAATCATCTGGAACATTGCCCACGTGTGCTCTTCTGGAGTTACCATACTGGTGCGGAATGGAATGATGCCCATTTCAAAGCCAGGTTATACTATGATTGGTTCTTATTGTCTCCTAGTAAAACCAGCCTGAACACCTTGGATCCATTGTGAAATACAAGTTATATTTAAGAACACAGCAATTCTTTCTGCTCCTATTTTGCCTGTATGACCAACCATTCTTCACACTGAAGGTAAAACCAGAATAATTTGAGTTCAGTGCAGCTGTCTATTCCAATTGAAATGCTTAAGGTTTTGTTAATATGTAAACAATAACCTGGTAAAAGAAGAAAACATCATGGATATGAATTCCTTTTTCCTATTCTCCCTTAATGGAAAATGCAGAGTCCAAAAGACAGAACTAAATCTGTCAGACTTCTCTATAGTTTCTTAGATTTTAAAAATTTATTTATTTATTTGAAAGAGTTACATAAAGAGGAGAAACAGAGAGTGAGAGAGTGAGAGAGAGAGAGATCTTCCATCCACTGGTTCATTCCCCAGATGATTGCAACAGTCAGGACAGGCCAGGCTGAAGTCAGGAGCCAGGAGTTTCTTCTCAGTCTCCCACACTGGTAACAAGGGTCCAAATACTTGCACCATCTTCTGCTGCTGTCCCCAGGCCAGTAACAGAGAGCTGGATCAGAAGTGGAGCAGCCAGGACACAAACAGGTGCCCATGTGGGATGATAACATCACAGGTGGTGGCTTTACCGACTAAGCCAAAACGTCAGCCCCTCTATGATTTCTTTTATTCTATAAATTGGTTATATATTATCAGAGCTTACAATAAGAGAGAATCAAAAGATAAGTTATTTAGCCTAGCAATTACAAAGTCCATATTCCAGATCAGAGGACCTGAGTTCTTTTCCCAGCTTTATTATAGAATAAGCCCCCAAAATAGTTGGAGGAGTTGTCATAGAACCCCCAACCTGAACTTACTTACCTAAAACTCAGAAAATCACTCACTGAGATCAGGGCAGTGGAAGACAATAGGCATGTTCAAGGGGCAGAGCAAGGAGCCGGGCTGCTATTACTTAATGCCCGTATCCCCAGGGAGTTAGGGGTAAAGGTCTTACAGTCTGAGACTGGAGCTGAGAGGTGCATGCTCATCTTACGTCCTAGTTCCTGGTTGATCAGTACTGCTCGTGGCCTTCCTTTGATTGGTCAGCAATGCCATGCTCTTCAGCAAATTTTTATGATGGCCAAGAGATTTTCAGTCACGCAAGTAGTAGTTACTTTTTGCCCTGGACCTATAATTCTACTGCCAAGAAGTGGAATTCACCAAAAGAAACCCTGGCCAAAAAGGTGTTATCTATTGGGGAAACAAATGACTTCATGGGTCCAGAGATTAGAGCCTTGTAAGGCCAGCTATACCACTTTCTCAATTAAACTAGTTAATTTTAGAACTATCAAAAGACAAGGCAAGGACACTCTAAGCTGATGATAATGGAGGGAGGCTAGATACTGGGGATAAAGGTATCCAGTGTTGCATTCAAGGCACTGCTTGGGGGCTCAGTTTCAACTCTGGCTCCCTCTTCCAGCTTCCTGATAATGCACACAGGTGATGGGTAGTTGAGTCCCTGCCAACCATGTAGGAGACCTGGAATGAGCTCTTGGTTCCCAGTTTTGGGCTGGCCCTGCCCTAGCCATTACAGGGCATATGATGAAAGAACCAAATGGATAGGAGATGTCTCTCTCTCTCTCCCCCCCCCACTATCTCCCTGCCTCTCAAAGAAAAAAGAAAATACAAAGTGTGTTTTCAAAATCGCCTTTTAACTAAAAGAATAAAACAGTAGAAAGCAATGGTACTCAACAGTACAGATTATGAAAATTATATACCAGATAGTCATAAAACTCAAAAACAGTTTGCTAATAGGAGAAGGCAGTGGTAGCTAAGAATGAAATGTGATTGTGGGGTGGTTACGTGAAATTTTTAACTGCAATTTCTAACTTGCAAGGACATTGGAACCTGTAATTTGGATATCCTGCCACTAGGTGGCAGTAGTAATTTAATTACACACCAAAAATACAGAACCTGACTTGCGGTTCTCAAATATCAGTAGGCATAACAGTCTTTTTAACAACTTCTCTTCCACCACCAACATGAGATCCTGGAAATCGATTCCTGAAGGGCATCTCAGATGATGCTCATGTCTACATTATCCTGATAAATCTTTAATGAGATTTCAATGCAGTTATCTTTGCTTGGCTGTGTGAAATTGCCCTAAGCTTCTTATTCCTTATTGGTAGGAGTGCTCCGTGGCAGTCACAGGTGGCCTAGGTCCTTTTACTCTGAGTGATAGACATAATTAAAAATGAAGCTTTATTTTTCTCTTCCCATTGTCTTTTTTTTTTTTTTTTTTTTTTTTTTTTTTTTTTTTTTTTTTTTTTTTGACAGCCAGAGTGGACAGTGAGAGAGAGAGACAGAGAGAAAGGTCTTCCTTTGCCATTGGTTCACCCTCCAATGGCCGCCACGGCTGGTGCGCTGCAGCCGGCGCACCGCGCTGATCCGAAGGCAGGAGCCAGGTGCTTCTCCTGGTCTCCCATGGGGTGCAGGACCCAAGTACTTGGGCCATCCTCCACTGCCTTCCCAGGCCACAGCAGAGAGCTGGCCTGGAAGAGGGGAAACCGGGAAAGAATCTGGCGCCCCGACTGGGACTAGAGCCGGGTTTGCCGGCGCCACTAGGTGGAGGATTAGCCTAGTGAGCCCTGGCGCCGGTTCCCATTGTCTTGTGCTCTCCGCTGCTTAACCCAAGATTCACTCAACTCAAATGGGAAAACAACAGCAAGGTATCCAGACATCTTCCCAGGTAAAATTCGCCTGAGTGGCCTATGGTTTTCTTACCTCAAATCAGAAGAAAAAAATATGTTTTCTCCTCTGATTGTTAGTGTTTTCCTATGTCCTATTAGATTTTCCTGGATAATATTCTCATGTAAGTATTTTGTTTTTCAGTTACTGTTTGTACTTTCTTACTAATGACATCAACTATTCATGGAGGGCTTACTCTGTGCTAGATTCTGTTCTAAACCCTCGGCATGCACTCTTTAGCCATTCATATATTTTACCTATATATAGTACAAGGGTTTACTCTTGTCAGCACTTGACAAATGTTAATGCATATTATTTTTGTGATGGTCTTAGGATGTAGATAAGTTGAGTATTGCTTATCTGAAATGCTTGGACCAGCACTGTTTCAAATTTTGGAATATTTGCTTTCACATGATGAGATATCTGTGGGTGGCTCACAAGTCTAAACATGAAATTCACTTATGAATTATATACAACTTACACTCATGACTTGAAGGTAATTTTACACATTATATATTTGGTGTACCTCTCTTGTTTTGACTGTAGCCCATTTAAAATGTCAGGTGTACAGTTTTCCACTGTGGTATCACAGCAGTAGTCATTTGTATTTTGGAATAGTTCAGGTTAGGAATGCTCAACATATAATAGCAAATTTTCATAGAGAACTTACACTGTTCTGGGTTGTGTAGTAAAAACTTTACAGTATGATTTACTTATAATAAAATGTACTGTAAAATACTGTAAAATAGAAATATAGTATGTACATGTAATGTATATGTTGTATGCATGTAATATATACTTATGTATATATTATGCATTATACATAAATGTATATGTGCATGTGTAATATACAAACTATATATAAAGAGCAATTATGCTAAGTCTTCTAAGCATATCACAAATGTTAGTGCATTTAAATTTTATAATAATCTTAGTATGTATATATTGATTTTTAGCATTTTATTTCAGAAGTGTTTTAAATTTAGAAAACAAAAATCATAGATAGTAATTCAAAGAGTTCTCTTATACCTCTCACCTCATTTTCCCTACTGATAGTTTGTATTAGTATCTTTTTCACAATTATTGAATCACATCTAATTTCTCTTTTTAAAATTTTTATTATTAATAAATGTACATACTTATGAGTACAGTGTGGTATTTCTTTTTAGAATTTTTAAAATTTTATTTAATTTATAAAAGTTTCATGTACTTCATATATAAAGATTTAGGAACATAGTGACACTTCTCACCTCTTTCTGTCCCTCTCCGCCACATTCCAATCCTTCTTTCTCCTCCCTCTCACATTCCCACTCTTAATTTTTACATAGATCTACTTTCAGTTTACTTAATGATTATAAGAT